CCCACATCGTCTCACCCACATCGTCTCGCCCACATCGTCTCATCACCTGATGACAAAGGACATAGCTTTTGTCCGTGGACCCCCAGAGCTGCACGTGGCACCCCAGTCCCTTCCCCTTTATAGCCCTGCCCCCTGCACCTTCCTGGGAGACAGGATTTGATGCTTGTAAGCGCCCTGTCTTCTTGGTGGGCCGACCTTCTCAAGAAACGCCTGATAGGATGGAACCCTGCCTTCGTGATCCGACACAGCCACAGGCGGCCCGAGCCCACATGGGGGAGGGTGGTTTCCCGGTAACAGGCATAATACATGGACTGTCTTGGGAAAGACAGGATGCCACTGATTGACATGAGGCAAATCAGGAGAGGGGACTCTACCTGAAGACGTTCAGCAATAACAATGATGTTCACTCATGTAACAAAACGTTCTACCTGTAGAGGGTGTTACCATTGCCAAATTCTCACATGAGCGTGCGCGCGCACACACACGCACACACACACATGCACACACAGATTTTCACAGCCAGACCATTTGTATTTTTTTGCATATCAGTTAAAAATGGATTTAAGCCCTAGCTCGTTTGGCTCAGTGGATAGAGCATCGGCCTGCAGACTGAAGGGTCCCAGGTTCGATTCCAGTCAAGGGCACGTACCTGGGTTGCAGGCTCCTCCCTGGCCGGGGCCCATGGTCAGGGCATGTGGGGGAGGCAACCCATCGATGTATCTCTCTCACATTGATGTTTCTCTCTCTCCGTCTCTCCCTCTGCCTCCCCCGCTCTCTAAAAATCAATGGAAAAATATCCTCGGGTGAGGATTAACAACAACGGCCAAAAAAAAAAAATGGATTTAAGATTAAGTATTAGGCGGGGACCTGGAGCTCACACCATTTCTACCGATTTTGTGTTCATTTCCCGTTAAATGAGAAGCCACACCCGTGTCTGGGGAAAATAGAACGTTTCCAAAATGATGGAGTTGGGGTGTCGCACATTAAATCAATTAGCGAAGAGAAAAAAAAATGACTGGGTTGTCAGAGGTTTGGCAAGAACGGATCTGATGGGAGGACTACCCCCTTGAGGGCTGAGCCACACCGGCCGGGCCTTTGTTCTCTCTCTCTTCTTTTTAATTTATCTTGGTCGCATTCAGATTTCCTAATTCGTTTTCTCATCTGCGAGGGTAATGACTACCGATGACTTGACGTGTCCCGACAGGCACCCGGGCCTGTGAGCGATGGCTGTTGGATGATCAAACAAGGGCTCCCACCATTACACATCGTGCGGCCTGCAGGCAATCTCATTATTCTCCCTGCGAAAAGGAAAACAGGAAACTAATTTTTCTCCCCTGCTTAAGGCACGTCTGTATGTCCCGAAACAGAAAGACTTCATCAGAATTATGTTGCGCTTCCCGTCTGTGCATCCGCCTTCATCAATCTTAAACACGATGGTGCGTTATCCAAGATGTGGGTGCAACAGGTCATGTGGCCTTGATGGGTATCTATATATATAAAAGCCTAATATACTAAGTGTCTGACGACCGGGCGCTGTGACGGGCACTGACCACCAGGGGGCAGAGGCACCAACCGGTAGGTTAGCTTGCAGCTGGGGTCCAGCCGATTGGGACTGGGTGAGATGGGGCCAGACACGCCCTGGAGGTTCCTCCTGCGGCCCCTCCCCGGCCACCAGCCCCGGTCGGCCCCGAACGGGACCAGGCAAGATGGCCCTGATCAGCCCCAATCTCCGGCCCAGTGGAGAAACGCCTCCTGTACATGAATTCGTGCACCGGGCCTCTAGTGTATATTTATAAACTAGAGGCCCGGTGCACGAATTCATGCACAGGTGGGGTCCCTCTGCTGGGCCGGAGATTGGGGCTGATCAGGGCCATCTTGCCTGGTCCCGTTCGGGGCCGACCGGGGCTGGTGGCCGGGGAGGGGCCGCAGGAGGAACCTCCAGGGCGTGTCTGGCCCCATCTCACCCAGTCCCAATCGGCTGGACCCCAGCTGCAAGCTAACCTACCGGTTGGTGCCTCTGCCCCCTGGTGGTCAGTGCCCGTCACAGCGCCCGGTCGTCAGACACTTAGTATATTAGGCTTTTATATATATAGATACCCATCAAGGCCACATGACCTGTTGCACCCACATCTTGGATAACGCACCATCGTGTTTAAGATTGATGAAGGCGGATGCACAGACGGGAAGCGCAACATAATTCTGATGAAGTCTTTCTGTTTCGGGACATACAGACGTGCCTTAAGCAGGGGAGAAAAATTAGTTTCCTGTTTTCCTTTTCGCAGGGAGAATAATGAGATTGCCTGCAGGCCGCACGATGTGTAATGGTGGGAGCCCTTGTTTGATCATCCAACAGCCATCGCTCACAGGCCCGGGTGCCTGTCGGGACACGTCAAGTCATCGGTAGTCATTACCCTCGCAGATGAGAAAACGAATTAGGAAATCTGAATGCGACCAAGATAAATTAAAAAGAAGAGAGAGAGAACAAAGGCCCGGCCGGTGTGGCTCAGCCCTCAAGGGGGTAGTCCTCCCATCAGATCCGTTCTTGCCAAACCTCTGACAACCCAGTCATTTTTTTTTCTCTTCGCTAATTGATTTAACCCCCTGCTGGTCAGTGCACGTCATAGCCAGCGGTTGAGCGGCCTTAGCATATCATTAGCATATTACTCTTTGATTGGTTGTTCTGCCGGTCAGTCTATTTGCATATTACCCTTTTATTGTATAGGATCCTTTTCTGAGATCCTGGTATTCCTACTTTTATTTCCAGACGTTCAGAGATTGGTTGGGGTAGGGGAGGCGTTGTAGGTTGCTATAAATATGCTGAATTTGGCGGCTAGATTTTAAGAGTTGAAAAACTTGGTGGCGGCCGTAAGAAAGGATGGAATAGCGCCATTGGCAGCACCAGGGATGGGCCTTCAGAATGTGACGCTGAGTGAGAAAAGTCAGGACGGGAAAGCTAAGGACTGTGTGATTTCACTCAGACGTGGGACTTAAAACTGAGACGCATGGACACAGACAGCCGGTGGTGGTTGCCAGAGGGAAGGGGGTGAGGGGAGAAGGGGGTGCTACTATATGGTGATGGGAGGAGATTTGACTTTGGGTGACGGGCACACGGTGCCATATACAGGTCACATAGAAACCCACACACAGCCCTGGCTGGTGTGGCTCAGTGGGTAGAGCGTCGGCCTGCGGACTGAAGGGCCCTGGGTTCGGTTCCCGTCAAGGGCACACGCCCGGGTTGCGGGCTCGATCCCCAGTAGGGGGCGTGCAGGAGGCAGCTGATCCATGATTCTCTCTCGTCATGGATGTTTCTCCCTCTCTCTCCCTCTCCCTTCCTCTCTGAAATAAAAAAATATATATATTTAAAAAAAAAGAAAAAGAAACCCATGCCATACCCAAAACCTGTATGTTCATGTTGACCAGTGTCACCCACATCAGTTTAGTTAATAAATAAGAAAAGCGTAGTGTCTTAAAACAACACTCATTTATTATCTCACAATTTCTGTGCGTTAAAAGTCCACGTGTGGCCCGGCCGGCGTGGCTCAGTGGTTGTGCATCGACCTAGGAACCAGGAGGTCAGGGTTCGATTCCCTGTCAACGGCACATGCCCGGGTTGCCGGCTCCTACCACAGTGTGGGGCGTGCAGGAGGCAGCCGGTCTGTGATTCTCTCATCATTAATGTTCTATTTCCCTCTCCCTTCCTCTCTGAAATCAACAAAATATATATATATTTTTTTTATTGATTTTAGAGAGGAAGGGAGAGGAAGAGAGACATTGAAACATCAATGATGAGAGAGAATCATGCATCGGCCACCTCCCGCACGCCCCCTACTGGGGATGGAGCCCGAAATCCGGGCATGTGCCCTGACCGGGAATCGAACCCTGACCTCCTGGTTCCTAGGTCGACCCGCACCCACTGAGCCACGCCGGCCAGGCAAGAATTCCTTTTAAAAGGGGCCACTGTGTCAATTTTCACAAGCGACAGACTCTCGGTGCCTGGAGCGATCACCTTGAAGTCTGAGCCGCCGCTCTGCCTGCCTGTGTGTCCACACGGCTTCCAGGCGGTCGGAAATGACAATGCTTTTCGCTTTTATCTATTTTTTACGGCACCTGGAGGCTCTTTTAAGGATTGTGTTCGAGTCAGATAGTTACAGGGCCCCGTGCTGGGAGAATGCATCTTGCTTGTTTTTCTTTTAAAAGAAAGCAATTCCCTGATTGCGAAAAAAAAAGATTGTTTTCAAGAAAGTCCCCAGATGTCACGTAGACCAAGCATGGACGTGACCCTGTCCACAGCCTGGCCTTGGTGTTGATTAAGAATTTATATATATACTAGAGGCCCGGTGCACCAAATCCATGCACAGGTAATGTCCCCAGGCCTGGCCGGTGATCAGGGCCAATCTGTGGAGTGATCAGGGGGTTCCTCCCATTGGCACCCACCTTGGCCGGCCTGATGCCGCCTGCTCACCCCCCACCACCACCACCAACACCGCCTGGGGGCTGGGGGCAGCTCCTGCATTGAGCATCTGCCCCCTGGTGGTCAGTGTGTGTCATAGCAACCGGTTGTTCTGCCAGTCATTTGTATATTGGGCTTTTATTCTATAGGATTTTTAAGAGAAAATTTTTTTTCTTTTAATCTTTATTGATGAAAGGATTACCTAGGTCCTCCTTTTTTCCTCATTAATTTCTTCCAGCCCATTTCCGCCCCCCAACCCCAGGCCCTCACCCCCACCTCACCACCCCATTATCTGTGTCCATGGGTTATGCATATATGCATATAAGTTCTTTGGTTGATCTCTTCCCACTCACCCTCCCCTGCCTTTCCTCTGAGTTCCAACAATCTGTTCATGCTTCTATGTCTCTGGCTCTATTTTTGATCATCAGTTTATTTGGTTCATTAGATCCCACAAATGAGTGAGATCATGGGATAGGTGCCTTTCTCTGATTGGCTTATTTCGCTCAGCATCATGCTCTCCGGGTCCCTCTGTGCTGTTGCAAATGGTATGAGTTCTTCCTTTTTCAGGGCTGCGTAGTATTCCAGGAATTGATATGACCAGGATGATTGCGCTCCATTTTATGGAAAACCATCCCGTTAACCTTGTGCTAACTGGTTATGGGTGTTTTCTCGCGGAATGCAATGGTGGGGAATGCCAAGGAGAGATCAGCATGGACTCGTTTGATCACTTCCTATCCCATTTATCTTTCTTTTTTAAAATTTTCTTTGTTAATCCTCACCCAAGGACATTTTCCCGTTGATTTTTAGAGAGAGTGGAAGAGAGCGGGAAAGAGAGAGAGAAACATCGACGAGAGAGAGAAACACATCGATGAATTGCCTTCTGCACACGCCCCGACCAGGGCTCGGGCTGGGGAGGAGCCTGCAACCGAGGAGAGGTCTTCCTTTTTCAGGGCTGCGTAGTATTCCAGGAATTTATATAACCAGGATGATCGCGCTCCATTTTGTGGGAAACCATCCCGTTAAGCCTTGTGCTAACTGGTTATGGGTGTTTGCTCACGGAATGCAATGGTGGGGAATGCCAAGGAGACGTCAGTATGGACTCGTTTGATCACTTCCTATCCCATTTATCTTTCTTTTTTAAATTTTTCTTTGTTAATCCTCACCCAAGGACATTTTTCCATTGATTTTTAGAGAGAGTGGAAGAGAGAGGGAAACAGAGAGAGAAACTTTGATGAGAGAGAGAAACACATCGATGAATTGCCTCCTGCACGCACCCCGACCAGGGCCTGGGCCGGGGAGGAGCCTGCAACCGAGGTTCGTGCCCTTGATCAGATTCGAACCCGGGACCCTTTGGTTCGCAGGCCGATGCTCTATCCACTGAGCAACACTGGCCGGGGCTGTCTTTCATTTTTAACTTTATTTTTTCTTTTCTTCTTTTGGTTTTTGTTTGTTGTTGTTAATGTTAATAATCACCAGAGGATATTTTTCCGTTGAGTTTGAGAGAGAGAGAAAGAGAGAGAGAGAGAGAAACATCGATGAGAGACACATCAATCAGTTGCCTCCCGCACACACCACAACCAGGGCCGGGGATCAAGCCTGCAACAGAGGTACGTGCCCTTGACCGGAATCGAACCCGGGAACCTTCAGTCCGCGGGCTGGTGCTCCAACCACTGAGCTAAACCGGCCAGTGCCCTTTCACATTTCTCTCGAAGAGCCCTATCTAAAAAGGGTTTAAAAGTGTGTTTTAACCAACCCGCAGTATTTGCTGTCTTTCTCCCCGGCCCCTGACATGCCCCCATCCCCCACCCGTCGCACATTGTGCCAAAGCGATGCTTTCCAGTGTCTGTTACGGGTACCGCCTGAGCCCCGTCTCTGGACGTCGGAAATGACACAAAATAAATAAAAGCCGAAATCTAAGGACGTGAAGCCAACTTCGGTCGCCCATATCCCTCCAGCAGCCAAAGGGCCCAGAGTACGGTCGGATCACGAAATCAGTAAATGCAATAGACCTGGAGGCGTGATGGGGAAGGCGACCTCATTGCTGTAGGTCTGAGTGGTCGTTAAATAGACAAAGAATGGGGGAAATTCTTTTTTCTGGCAAAACGAACATGGTGTTATGAACAGGTGTGCTTCATTACCATAAATATATAAAAGCCTAAGTGACCGTCCGACAGTTTGACCGTCCGACCGGTCACTATGACGTGCCATGACCACCAGGGGGCAGATGCTCAACGCAGGAGCTGCCAAGCTGCAGTGATATATGTATGTGTGTGTGTGTGTCTGAAAGATATATTATGGATAGAAAACTTCATTCATTTTATGCACAAAATACAATATCAACTATGGCTTTTATATTTGTGTTTATTATTGGTTGTTAAAATTATGGCTGAGGAATTTATTTCATAATTTTTAAAAAATACATTTTTATTTATTTCAGAGAGAAAGGGAGAGGGAGGAA